ATTTAAGCTTATCTAAATACTAATTAATAACCTATATAAATTATAATATAGCCTTATTTCTGCTTTATAAACTACTAAATTCTTATATAATAAGATTATTACTTCTTATTAAAGCTTATTAGTATACTAATATATAATCTCGGATTCTTCTAATAATCTTGGCTAGTTTATTAATAAGCTCTAATTATCTATTACTACCTATAAAAAGAAATAATAGATTAATATCTAGATTTTCTTTACTAATTAAAAATACTATTCTTAAAATCCTTTAAATTATTATTTATTCGGAAATTATTAATATAAATCTAGCTATAATTTCGGAACTTGTAATAATTACTTTAAGTTCTATAATTATAATAATTATATTTTGAAGTTATATTTTATATATAAGAAACCCGAATATTATTTATAAAAGTATATACTAAAGAAATAAAAGATTAAGAAGGCTTAATTTAAGAATAGAAATATTTACTAATTTAGATCCCGAAATATCTATAACTTTAATAAATACTTTAGTAATACTTATATATAATATATTACTAAATTTTAAAAAAAGAAGATAATAAGAATAATAAGAATAAACTAGTAAATAATACTTTTAAAGCCTTATTAGTAGAAATAAATAAAGGAAAAAAATATTATTCTAATTCCTATTTTATTTCTATTAAGAGCTTTCTAGCTACTCTTATAGCTTCTATTTCTGCTATTTTTATAACTAATACTCTTATAAATAATCTTATATTTCTTTCTTTTATATACTAGATAATAGGTAAAAACTATATCTTAAAGCTTACTAAATAAATAAAGAATATTTAGATATTTATAATTAATAATATATTAAGATATAATATTTATTATTTTTATAGAATTATAATTAATATCGGAATTTCTAGATTTTTAATTACTAGTTCTAACTAATTCTAAGCTTTATAACAGACTAATAATAGTATTTAATTTAATGAAATTATTAAAGATTAAGTTAATATCTAGTTTAGTATTAGATTTATATTTTCTATTAAATCTATAATAATAAAAATACTAATTAGGTAAGTATAATTATATATTATACTTATAAAAACTCTATTTCTATTTAGTTTAGCTAATATAGATAAACTAGAAATTTATTTTAATAATCTTACTAATTATTTTATTACTTCTAATAAATGCTTTATATTTATAATATAATGTTTTAAATACTTTTTCTTGCTTTAAAATACTATTCTATAAAGCTTTATTTCCGAATTCTTTATTTATTTTTTACGGAATTTATATATAATAATTCAAAATATTAGATTTTATAAAATATATCTTTTAATATATATTATAGATATTATTCTTAATTTTTATAGAATTCTAAAGATAGAATTATAAAAAAAGTATTAGTTATATATAAGAGGTTAGAAACCCTTAAAGTAAAATAGAAAAAGCTTAAGAATTTATAGTATTATATATAAAATAACTAGTAAACCTATTATAATAGGTACTAGTTAGTTTAATACTATTTTAAAGAAGCCTGGATAATATTATTAATAAAAAACATTAAACTTAAAATAGAAAAGCTTAAGCCAAAATTTATAAGTCTATTTAGAATCTTTAAATATATTAGTAATTTAATATATAAGTTAGAATTACTAAATATATATAATTATTTATATTTAACTTTCTATATTTCTTTCTTTAAAAAATATATAGTAAAAAAGAATTAGAAGCTATACTTATATTTCTTTAGAGAACTTCCGGAATTAGTAAATAATAATAAAGAATAAGAATAGAAAATAGAAGCTATTATTAATTACTAATAAAATAATAAAAGTAAGAAGTAATAGTATTTAATTAAATAGAAAGCCTAGCCTAAAGATTATAATATCTAATTATTTACTTTTTCTAACCTTGAAAATTCTAAAGAACTTTTAAAATTATATAACTAAAACTATAACTTAAAATCCGAAATCACCTTTTAATAATTTCTTAAGATTAAAAAGAATTCTAAACTATTAAGAAAAAGGCTACTTAAAAGAAAGAGAGGACCTAAATAGCCAAGAAAAGGCCTAGAATAATAATAGAAATATTCTTTCTCTAGGTTTTTTTATTTATAAAGGTTTTCTAGGGTTTTATTAAAGCTTATAAGAATTATATTTAAATTATTAGAAAAAGATTTAGAATTAAGAAAGGTTTATTATAGATAAACTAGCTATAAGTATCTTAAATAAGTAAACTCTAATTCTTATAAATTCCTAATTTCTAAAGCAAGAATACTAAATACTAGCCTTATTTAGAACTTAATAAAGAATTAGCTAATACTTTCCGGAATCTGCTTATTTTTTAATAAGATATAGTTATACTATAATAATATTAGTATTAAGAATATTAAAAGAAGTAAGTAAGAAATTTATAATAGCTATATATACCTTATAAAAGGCCCGAATTTCTAAAATCAGATCTCGAATAATTATAAATATTATATTATTAGTACTTAAAGTACTAGTAATAAACTATTTAGTAATCTCGGTAGTAAGCTTAATAATAAGATTAATACCTTAAAAATAAATATTATAGTATTTCTTTAAGAAATTAATAAGTATCTAAGTATATTAGAAAAAACTTATTTTTAGGATACTAACCTAAATAATATTATTATCTGCCTTATTAAGACAGGAAAAAGAATTCCGAAGCTTATTAGAGTTCTTCTAGTTTTCGAAAACCTAATTAATAGTATTATTTTTATTAGTATAATACTATTTAAGATATACTTTAAGAAATTTCTTAAAAGTTATAATAATATTTTCCTAGAACTAATAAGCCTCTAATAAATAGCAAGAAATCTGAAATCGCATTAGCTTTAATAAATATTAAAGCTAAAGAACTTACTAATATATAAGATTTAGAACCCTTATTATAATAGTTATAATTTTTCTTATTAGATACTATAGTATATAAGATAAAGGAATTAATAAGTAAATACTTAAAATATTTCAAGTATTTACTAGTAATAGAAAGAAAAGCTATAAAGTTACCTTTATACTTATTATTATATAAACGAATAATAAAGCTAGAAAAAGATATTATAGAATTAATTAAAAATAATTAAAGAAGACTTGAAAAAGAATAAAAGAAGAAATTAGAAAATAATAATAGGAAAAGTTATTATATATATAGTTATTAGAAAAAAAAAGAATATATAATAATATAAAGAGATTCTTTTATAGAAGTAAAGAACTACCTAAATTAACTACTAGTTTTTATATTAGTTCTAATTAGAAATTAGTATAACTAATTAATATATATTTCCAGAAGTCTATAAATAATCTCTAGAATCTCAGAAATATTTATATAGGTTTCTTATATAAATATTTATTAAATTCTTTCTATATAGCTATTTAGATTATTTTAATATAAGATCTAATAAATAGTATTAATTTTATAGAATAATATTTTAGTATTTTAAATTAAGCTAATTAGAATATTTTAATCCTAAATAAAATCGCAATTACTAGCTAGCTCCTATATCTGAAATATAATTATTCTTCTCTTTTACTTACTTAGCTCTAATCTAATTAGATAAATTTTATATCTATTATTTAGATTATATTAGTAAAACTATTTCTTAAGATACTAAAAGTTTATCTTAATTAAATAAATAATTAATTAAATATTTACTAGAATAGATTAATAGATCTTGGGAATAAGATTCTAGAAGAGAAGTATAGTTATAATATATATAGGGTTATATATAACTTAAGAATATATAATAAACCTCAGATATTACAAGTATTAATTAGAGAAATCGGTAGCCCTTTGACTTTATAACTAATTACTATTTATATTATATATAGTCGGCTTATAAATTACTAATTATATATACGTTATCGGGGCCCTCTATTTAGAGGGGGCTTCTCTAGACCTTATAGGAAAGACAGAGATTAGTTCTATACTAAATTTAATACTATAGTTTTATAACTTACTAATTCATTCTATTATCTTATTACCTACTAATAAATACCTTATAGTATTATTAGTATTATAAAGCTTTCTAATATAGGTATTATTACAAATATTTTTCTTTTTAAAGGTTATAATATTAAGTATCTTTTACTAATTAAGTACCTAAAACGGAACCGGATTTAAGAGGTAATATAGATAGGAACTTTTAGGGCTTTTTATACTTCTAGAATTCTTATAATATTTAAGGATATCTAGATTATTTTATATCTCTATTATTCTATTTATAAACTATATAAAGGCCTTATTAACTGGTATTAAGTAATTTGAGTTTAACTCTCTATCTAGAGTATTTATTACAAGCCCAAATAGAGTATATAACTTATTATTTAAGTCGGATACTTTATATATCTGTAATTAGTCAAGAAGTAAAAGAAGATCCAGATCTTTATCTTAGTTAATTTGGCTTTGTCTAATGCTATATAAGCTTGAGACTTTCTGGAAGTATATAAGATCTGGAGTTTCGGAGTTAAGATATAATACTTGCCGTACCCTATAGTATAATACTTGAATTATAGTTATAGTAACTCTTGTAAACTCTGTCTTATATCTGCTATATATGAAATAGGTTTATTCGGATATGTAGCTTTTTTGAATAACCTAGATCCGAGTCTACTAGTCTCGGTTAAGAAGCAGATCTAGTGCCTTGAGAAATCTGTTACTAAAAGTAGGAGGTACTAAGTCCGGAGGGTTACCAGATTTTGATCCTAACGTTATCTAGCTATCGTATACTATATTTATAGCTTCTATTATAAAGCTTCTGTTATTTATATCCAGACCTAGCCAAATAATTACCTTCTGGGCCTAATTATAAATGGCTTTCATATATTGAACCTGTCGCTTCGCTCCCGAGTATCCTCCTAGTCAATACAGACTGCATTTATCCAGAAGCTAATAGTCTATATATAAGACGGAATGTATTAGAGGGCTGTTATAAGATTTCGAGTAACTGGAAATAAGAAGCCATTGAGTAATATATTTGTTATATCTGCAGGATTGCCTCAGGTATATAAAAGCGCCTTATATAGTGGGAAAGTGAGTAATGAGGTATGTCCAAGACTGTACTCTATTTCAAATGAGGAGTTCGGCTGGATTAAAAGAATCCGTATTTCTCTCAACTCGCTGTCTAAAGCTCGATATCCTAACTTCGATCGTTTTTCGCGAACTAGCGGCTTATTTATGACTCTAATAGTTAATGAAACGAGTTTTCTATGACAGAGAGCTGAAAAATGATAATTTGTCAGCAAGTAGGACAATTACCGAAAAAAGTATGTAATAACAAGTGGCAGATATGAAATAAAAGCAGTTCCCCTAATTTACTTTCAGCCATTTGACTCCCCTTATTGAGTTATAACCAGACATACGCCCGACTACGGGGTGTGTACCCCAATACTCGGGCAACAGCTAAGACGTTAGATATACCACTTGCTGCCTTGCACCAGGCTGCGCCACTCGTACCTCCCTAGCTATTTACTCCGTAGGCTGCTAAGGCTATCAAGGCTACTCAGGCTACTCAGGCTGCTCAGGTGAGCCTCGCGAGCCTCGGATGAGCCGAGGGTGATTAGCACCTGAGTTAAAGCAGCGAGCTTACTAACCAACCTTAGGGCAAAGGAAGAAAAGTTGTATTCAACTACCTAGATAGTTGGGCTATCATGTAGAAACCAAAACCTGGTGGGTCGGTACCATTGTATTAAGCGAAAATTGAGATACTTCACATTTTATATAATCATAACGGGAAACAGATTGGAGTTTGGGTTAATTAAATTAATCGTTCTCCAATTTACTTTCATACCTTTTAGCATGGTGTAAAGAACGTCGTCTCATTGGTGCAGGAGTTCTGAGGAGTCCAAAAGCAGTAAAGCGCCTGGAATACCACACTGCCTCGCGCGTTAATAGGTCCAGCAGTAGGTAATCAGGAGTTAAATTGAAGTTACGTCCTAAACCAGGCTAAGTAAGGCCAAAAAGAGGGTCAAAGATCACGCAAGTGTCGGCCCGCTATAGCCCATCTCATGGCTTGGCGGAAGGTCTCAAACATTCAGGTTGAATAGGATGTGAAGGCTTCGGGTTAAATTTATTCCCAAGGGGCATTTTTTCAAGACAATTCGTATGGGATGATAGCATACAGCATAAAAATGAGAAGTTGAGGGCTCCGGGTGTTCCGTTACACGGCTGAGAAGTGGTTTCTCAGAACGAAGGACTCAAGTCCGCAGCTTAATTTCCATGCATGATTATCGTGAGCTTCAGACGGGAAGAATCACAGGATCCTATTTATAGAATGGTGGCATGCGATATTCCTGGGTCCTCGAATGAGCAGGTTGCGAGTGCCGGTGACATGCTGTGTTGTTCAACCAACTGCTTTAAGAGGCGGTCAATAAGTTGACGTTGCTTGTCACTCGCAGTACATATCTGCAATGGCCACATTTGCATCTGCGACAAGCTGTTCCAAAGTATCAGCTGCGACAGGTCTATACTGAATTTTGTAGGCCTTGTTTTGCTTCGAACGAAGGATTTGCATGAATTTAGTGGTTGAGATGGTATGGAAAATCACAGAACGACACTGCATCAAATTCCACGAGTCATTGATGCCCCGTATAATTGCATACCAGTAGACCGTTTGTATATTAAATCAGTGACACGTTAACAATTATGGGCAAGCAAAGGAGACTGTCTCTGTTGTATTTAAGAATTGAAATTAGTGACTATTGTACTTTCTTAAGTTAGTGGATTCCTCGAAAAGGGTTGAGTTTGATATACAAAAAGTAATAACCTTAGACGCTTACCCGGATGTTCTGCTTGTGAGCTCCCAGTAAGCAGCAGTTTATTTTACAAAGGTCACTCATCCGGAAGGTAGAGGTCGTACTCTCCCTCGGTGAAATCATCCTGGATCTTCTCGGCTTGCATTCCGTCCACGTCATATTCATCCAACTCGGCATCGAATTCGACTTCATGCTCGACGGGCTCATCATCGGTGCCGAAATACGCTCCGTGCTCTTCATCCGTCGCCGTCACCTTGTCGTCCTTTAGCTCCAGCTTCTGCACCTTGAAGGCGAGCAAGGTCGGCCCGTCGTCCTCCCAGTCAATCTTCAGCGTTCGCTTCTTAGACCGCTTGCCGCTGGGGCCGAACGAGACCCCATTGGCGTTGATGCCCAGGCTCGCCTCGTTCTCTCCGTCCTTGATGTCGGCTGACTTGAAGACAATGCCCGACGCCACCACAATACCTGTGATGAGGAAAGCGCATGGTTCTGAGCCGTCCTTGAGGATGTCCATGATAGGCTTTTGCGCCTGTAGTCCTGCGAGGAAGTCTGGAGTCGGCTCGAAGGCCTTGAAGGTCATGCTCTTGATCTCGTAGCGCTCCGAGACATCGGTCCCGGACGAGTGGGAGATATTGGCGCCGATACCGAAGAAGTCAAGAATCTTGGCAAAGAGGCCATACTTGGAAGACTTGGCGTCGACTTTCTCGATGTTGTACTTCTTAAGCGTCTTTGGAGAGGGTAACTCTCCGAGTGCAAGAGGTGGGACAGCCTTGTCTGGCCGGAAGAGCACCACGTCGGGTCGTTTTACTTGATAGATGACATTTCCAAGCTGGACTGTGGAATTGTAATTCTTCTTCTCGTCCGGCACAAGGAAGAAAGACGGCGGAGCTTTTGTTGATGGCATTATGATTATCTTCAAACAAGCTGTGGAGGAGGCCTGTTCTCGTTGGACGTTCGATGTCTTAGGTGTCCTGAGAGTGAAATATGCCGCACGGTCGAAGCATAGCAATCGGGCTTATGATCATACCAAAATCCGCGAATGATCCATCATCTATATGAGCCTGGTGTCCATTCGGCTAACTGGAAAGGGTCTAGGTTTTTGACTTCAACTTGCATTGTGCAGAAAAGTTGCATATGGCTTCTCCAATCACTGGCCAAGCGCTGGATCCATCCCAGCCAGCGGCCAAGAAATAATTTACTCAGTGGACAGCCACACTTACTACATGCACAGCTTGCCGCATAAACTAGCCACGTATAGCTGCATCTCGCGTAAAGTAACCCCAAGGAAACAAACAGCCAAAGAGCCTCAAGGCAACGCATCCATCCTACCCTGGACCCACTATGCCACAAATTATAGTGACTGCCTACCAGAAGACAAACACTATGGGAGGAGCTATACTTGGAACTATAGTATGCTTGGGACTTGGGACTGCACCGACTAAACCGCACCCCTGACTCACTAACACTCTATGAGGCAGACTGTGAAATTTCTTTATAACCTTGTTTAAACGGTAATATTGCAGGTGACATTAAGAACGCAAGTAACTGCGGGTTGTGTATCGAGTACTTCTCTTTCTCGACAACAGAGCGTGCAAGGTCTTCCTTGACATACAGTCGGTCCGATCCAAAAGCGACAAAACGGTCGCTATTTTACGCCCATAATAACTTTTTAACTATAACCCTAATTAATTCTTACTAAGTAATGTAATTATAGAATAGAATCAGGCAAAAAATACCTATTAATTAGATTTTTAATATAATTTGTAGTTTATTAATAATCGAGGCTTAAAGTAAATAGACCCTTTTTACTTTTTTGATTTTTCCCTATATAAAACACAAATATATTTGCTTGCTAAGATTATATAAGCCCGGGCTTTAGAAAAAGATTATAGTATCTTACTAGCTTTATTATTAATATAATAATAATAATTAAGCCTTATAAGCTCAAGTAAGCCTTTCTAAATACTAAATATAGCTTTTTCTAATATTATATATATTATATATATAGTAGGGCCCTAATTATATAGGTTTCAAGCTAATTTTTAGCTAAACTAAATCTATAAACCTTATTTATTACTTAGCTACTTTCTTTCTCTTACTTTTATATATTATTTTATTTATTTATTACTTTTTTAAATATTATTCTATAGTATTTTTGCTTCTATATATACTAAATAGATTATTTAATACTTAATTTCTTCTAATATATATTTATCTAGTAAAATATATAATTATAAAACCTCTATATAATCTTAATTAAATAAGCTTTAAGTATCTCTATTACCTTAATCTTAGTATCTAGAAAGCTAGTCTTTTTTACTTAATAATATCGAGTTTTACTATATCCCTAATATATTTTAATTAGATTAATTTTATAATAGAACTTTAGTAAAAATATAGCCTTATATTTCTAATCTATAATAAGCTTTTTAATTTGGGACTTCTTTTTAAAGAAGTTTTAGTAATTCGATAATATATAAGCTAAATAGTATATTTATTATAATATAGTAGGCTATATTCTCTAAAAATTATATTATTTTAGCGGTTTTAAGATTTTAATTATATAATAAAAGCTATAGCCTTTTATATATAACTTATAGAAATTATATAAGAAAGCTGGTTTTTCTATAATTCTAGAGAATAATTTCTTTTTAGTATTTAATTAATTAAGCTTTTATATACTATATACTATTTATACTTTACTATTTATATTTTTAATCTTATTATTTTACTATTAAGTTATATTTTATACTCTAGTATACTTTATATAGGTTTTTGTTTTATTATAGTTTCTTTCTTATATTATTTAATAATAGGAAAGTATTTAAGAAATATAGTATATTTAGTATTCTTTAGATACTTAAATCTTAAGCCAGAGATATTATAATCTTATTTAATAAGAATCTATTCTATACTTTTAGGCTTTCTTTCTCTATTTAAATTAAATTACTAAAATACTTAAATAATATCTTATAATCCCGGAATTATATATTCTAATAAAAAGTATATATCTCTTTTATAAGCCTTAATATTATTCTTTTTAATTCTTTCTAATTCCTTATTTATATAAAAAATATTTAGTATATCTTTACTATATAAAGTATATATAAAAAATTAATTAAATATTAGAATAGCTATATAATTTAGGTACTTCTATTTAAATATATTAAGTATTCTAGTAATCTATACTAGTAGCTATTTTATATTCTACTAGGGATCTCTATTTAAGCCTAAATATATAATTTAATAGATATTTAAATTAGAATTATCTAAAATAAAAATACCTTTATTATTTAGTACTCTAATATATCTCTTAAAGCCTATAAATTCAAAATTATAAATTAGCTTTCTTTTACTCTTTCCGGGCATTTTTTACTAATTATTTACTAGCTAGAGACTCTTTTTATAATTAAATCTATAGAAATAGCTCTTATTATAAAAATATATTATATATATCTAAACTTTAATTAGAAGTAAAAATTAAATTATATACTATATACTAGTTTTATTTCTCTTATATTAAACTATATATAATAAAACCTCCTTTATTAAGAATAAAAATATCTCTTAATAATACTTAATTATATTAGATTATTTATATTTATTTATATAAAGCCCTTTCTTAGTTTTATAGTAATAAAAGCCGAGTTTAGAAAGCTATAAATAAGCTATACTATAAATAATAGTCTTTTCTATTATTAATAATAATAAAGGTAAAATCTTCTAATTAATAGTATTTAGGAAATTATTTAATAATATTATTTCAAACTCTTAATTAATTAATTAAGTATAACAGGCTAAAAAAATATTTCTATTATCTAAATGAGAGATAATCTTTCTTTTACTATCTCTAGTTTCTTATAGAATATTATACTACTATTAATAGTAATTAAATAGCTTTTTAATTTACTAAACTAATATCTTTCTATTATTTAAATAGTAATTACTAGAAGCTACTAAAAGTAATATATTAATTCTTTTAAGTTAATATTATTCTAGCTTTAGAAGCTATTAAATATATTACTAAAATAAGTATAAGTTAGTAATTATATATAAAATATATAGTTCTTTAATTTAAACTAGCTTAATATTTATATTATTAAGAACTTCTTAATAAGTTATTTATATATTTAGAGCTTTATTATCTCTATAAGTATTTCTAATAAAAGTATCTAAAAGTAGCTTATTTATTTTATTATTTTTATCTTTAAGCCTTTACTTTTTCCTTAATTATATATCTCTAGAAATATTAATTAATTCTCTAATAATATTAAATTATAGCTTCTTTTATTTAAAAAATAATATAATTATAGAAGTTTTAAGCCTACTAGATTACTTTATAACTTAATATCTTTTACTCTCTAATTATATATATATATTTATTAAGTTCTTAATAGCTTTACTAATTCCTTTATTAATTTGGGAATATATAAGCCTCTAGAAGCTAGAAATAATATTAGTATACTTATATTATAATATAAAAATAAGAAAATAAGATAAGAAACTTACTAGCCTATTCTATAAGTCTTTACTCTTATTATATAAATATAGGCTTCTTTAAAATAATTATCTTATTACTACTAATAATAAGCTTTTATTAAGCCTAAAAGAGAGTCGAATCTTTAAGCTCTATTTTATTATTTTATTTAATATCTGATTTATTAGAATCGTCCTCTATATTAGAGGGTTTCCTATATTATTTATTAATAAATACTTAAATTATAGCTTCTTTAGCTATAGTAAGAACTATAATTGAATTAAGAGTCGAATTAGCTTGCTTATATTTCTAAAGGCCTATAGAGATAGCTATTAGAAGTATATAAAAGGGGTACTGAATTGGGTTTATAGTTATTAAGATATTAATATAATTATAGAAGAGCAGTCAATTAAGGGGGGCAGTCACGTGACAACCAAAGTAAAAAACGATTATATAAAAAGCAAAAATATTTACTCGCTTAATTACGTGCATTATAACTTCCTTAATAATAAAGATATTATAATTTTGAGAACATAGAATTAATTCCTATAGTATATAGTATAGTTTTAATTAATACGATTTATATTAATTAGTATTGTAGTGGGTTTTATTTTTTTTTGTCGCTTTTGGATCGGACCGACTGTATTCTTCTAGGCCTTGCTCATTCAAGCGACGAATACCGACAGGGGACGCGATGCTATTGTGTTTCAGGTACCTGAATATTCTATACTTAGGAACTGTGAATCAAGAAATCGATTACTCTGAGCTGCTTATTTCCGACTTCAGGCATAACCAATGCGGCGCTTGATTGCGTCGCCGATATCTTTCTTGGTGTTATACCCATTCCGCGCAAGATGCCACGGTGCCAGGTAGGTGAAATCTTCACTGTCCCCTTTCATACACATGAGATGAAGAACGCCTCTCATCCCTTTGAAAGATGAAATATGCCTCCACTTATAGTCATCTAGATTTAGGTTCCGCCGCGCAAACTCTATTATGTTGCCCGCAATTGCAGCGGCAATTGGAGCCGCATATGAGGTTCCGGTCAGCCACACTTTCTCTCCTTTCCATTCCGATTCAATGGCGACTCCCAGGGTCGCAAAGGGCGGTAGCTTGTCAGGGTCTGCTTCGTTGTGCGTGGAGTACTTCGGAGCGAATTTTCCATCAAACCCAAATCCATTCACAGAATAAACACAAAAGACGCCGTACTTGCAAGCCGGGAATGCTAGTGGGAAGTTGTAGCCCCAGTTGGATGCCGCAGCAAAGACGACCCTAGGTCTAGTGTTTTCGTTTCCTTCTTCTGGATTGATAGCGTCTTCAAGTTCAGCATCAATCACGGGGATGTCTCTCTTGAACCCCAAGGAGAGAGAGATTATGTCTGCATCCTCCTTGACTGCCCACCGGATAGCCTACATTGGAAAGATTAGATCTGTAGAGCTAAATAGGCCCTCCTTCGAGCCTTACCTGAGCTATCTTCAGTGAATCTCCTTCCTTGAACTCTTTATCCTCCGAGACCTTGGCCACCATGATGTCTGCTGTCTTGTTGACCTGGAGAACTAATCGCACAAGATGCGTGCCATGGCCACAGGAGTCGCTGAAATCATTAGGGTTAGACCCAACCCAGCTTTGCCCCTTGATTCTTCCATTGACATGCTCTGGCAGTATGAGGGGATCAGAAAGGTCTACACCGGTATCGATCAAAGCAATCTTTATTTTCCGGATCTTTTCAGGCTCCTCTTTAGATTTAGGGGCGATGATTTGGCGCCGCAGTTTCGGTAAATGTGTCTTATTGAACTCCCTTATTAGCTCCCAGTAGTCATTAGCCCACTTGGCTAGTCTGTAATAGTATTCAGGTTAAATGGAATATTGTGATGCTTTTGCAGGGTCACTTACCTCTTATTCTCACCTTCCAGCTCAGTATTTTCTATTTCGAAGAACTGCCACGGTTCTTGAGAATTTAGATGAACTGTATCGTTTGGACCGTCTAGACCAGCAAACCACCGCGACATGTGGTAGTTTGGTGTTGCTTTCGTCATATCTAGAGAGTTGTCCCCTTGATTGTCGCCAGACATGTACTGCTGGGATTTACTAATCTTACTTGGTGCCGAGTTTTGATAGTGGTGGACTTCACTGACTGAGGAGCTAGAGCTCGAGCTGGATTGAGGAGGCACAGAGAAAACAGCAGATGCTGAGGAAGTGTTGTCTCTCGATCCACTCCCCTGAGAGTTAGAGGTCCGAGGAGAATTTCTAGGTCTGATTGAGAACAGATAAGAATGTTTCGACGTATCCTGAATCGTCTTTTGGCCTCCGTGGTGGTCCACCTTCGAAGTCGTTGTCTTCGCTGCTGTAGGAATACTTGTGGAAGGTACCACAAGCTTCTCGACCACATCCTTGATGTATCTTCTGTCCCACTCGCACCACTCCCCAGGATCTCCAGTTAACTCCTCTGCCTCAAATTTTATCTTGCGAACCTTGTGGAACCTGAGACACGCGTCGATTGCATCGCCGTACTCGAGATGACCCTTAGAGTTTTTGTAAATTCCCGATAAAAGTAACCAGACGGTCTCCTTTGTATCTTTCTTCAACTCCTCTTCAATATGGCTGTCCAAACTTCCGCCAAGATCGATCTCTAATAGTAGCTTTCCAAGAAAGAGGAATACGGGTGGCTTTGTATTTGCAAGCTTTGATTCCCATTTAACATAGTCAGCAAGGTAGGGGCCAGCCGGAGAGCACGATATGAATGGTCCAACAGGTATGTCTGATTCACTTTGGCCATCTTCATCGGCGAGAAAGAGCATGTCTTTGGCGCACCATCCTTTCCCAACCCATTCCGAGCCCAGTAGACGACAGAGGGAGGAGGCGATACTTGTGGCAAGAGTCCTCTTCTGGCCTCTACTAAATCGATTCGAGGTCATGCTATTAAGATCGAACCCCTTGAAAGCCCCGCTCTCAAGTAAGGTGTGGAGAGACTTCCTAGGAAATTTGTTACTGTGGAGTGTAGTTTGTGTTGCTTGTGAGAGATTCTGAATCTGGTCCCCAGTCACATGTAAATGCAACCCCTCTCGGTCTGACTGGGAGTCTTTAATCTTGCTACAAAGGTCCATATTTCGTACTGTTCGAGGGCCAACGTCGAGATTTCTTGGGTTGATCAATTAACGCTAAGCACTTTCTCGGTGGGTTCTTGCTGAGGGACACAGAAAAAGCAACTTACTCGCGCTTGCCACATTGCGTCTCTTGCCAGTCGCAATGATCAGGGCAGACAGAAATAAACATATCCAGCAATATCTTCGGTGCACAGTCACTACTATCGTGTTGCTTAGGGAGATAAAGCATGAGCTTGTGTTCCGTTTGGCAGTGCTGGAGGTGACTGAAAATGGCGCCAAAAGCCGACGTTGCATAGTCTCGTATACTGGAATCTTGAATTTCGACGGAATCGGACGACTCCAAAGCCGCTGGAATCGATTTGGTCTGCTGGGGGAGTGGTACTGAGTCGAGAAAGTGGTTGAGATCCAGAACTGTCTCCAGGTTGGCTGCAACCGAATCGTCTGGTGGCAGATTAAATGCAGGGCCCAAAGGGCCGTTTATGAGGTTGAAAGGCACTCGTGACGTTTCTAGGAGTTCTAGCAGCGCCCAGAGCCTCTTGTACTTGGTGTCATGACTGAAAAGATGTCCAAACTTGTTATCGGGCTCTTGTCCCGTGAACTTTTGGTTATGACTTGGGTTCACCAGTGACTCAAGCAGTAAAATGACTTTCACCAGCTTTTCTTCGCAGGTAGCAATCCTTTCGGGAGGTATATCACAAGGCAATCTGGGCCGAACAAAGACTCTGGTCAGTTCAAAGTCGAAATTTTCCTTTGAGTTACCAATGAGGATAGCAGCCTCGTCCAGACAATCAAAATCCTCAACTGTCTCAGGCAGGGTGAATATCAAGTAGCCACTAAGGGCACTGATAATTCGCCATGCTAAGATGCTGTTTAGGGACATGTCAGACCAAGGTCGCAAAGTCGAAGGCGAGGGCGAGGGCGAGGAGCGAGAGCTGTGAGACTTTGAACAAATTACCCGATTCTGTAACTATTGGAGATGGGAGATATTTCAGTCTCGGCCCGCGACCGAAAGGTGCTTGCGGGATGGCGGGGCAGGAATAAGCGGCATTGCACGCACCAGCGCCATTGAATGCATGCCAATTGGTGGCTGAGTCGGCTGAGATACTTTTGCTTTTGCACAGGGAGGACTCCACCACCAGTTGGCAGAGACTTTAGCCTATCAATCGCTGAGGTGATGGCGAGCCGGGCAACGCCATGCAGCAGCTGAAAGTTTTACTTCGAGGCACCCACTGTAGGGTTGTTGTGTTCATAGATGATTCGTTGGATCTCTCATCATCACGTGTGTGGCTTTTGTCTGCAGCAGAAGGACCTTGACCTGCCTCTTTGCTCTTCGAAGCAGGCAATTGAGGTTGTGCAACTATCACACAATCATTCAAGCAGATAAGACACTTTAGAGGAAGGTCCCGATTCGAAACAGTAGTGCCATATCTGTTGAGGAGCTTACTATTCCTGCTTGTCTCAGTACACCCACAAGGCTCAGGCCGAAAATTCCGGCGCCAGGAAATGCTTAATTTATCGGATTTAAGACAAGATGTCCCCCAAGCTCCAACCCCGCCTCAGCGAGCGGAGCTCTATATATTTTCAGTGGCAACTGATTGCTGGGAATCCTTTGCCAACCTTCTTGCTGAGCTAGACAACAACGTGCCCCTGACATGGCGTCTTGTCACTGAGTATCAGCAAAGATACGAAGCCTGGATCGGCTTCCTCGGAGTCTTTGCCGATGGGAATCTCAGCCTTGACCACAGGCTTAGGAATAGTGCTGAGGTCAAGAGTCTTGTGATACAGCAGCTTCATTTAGCTAAGAAAAACCTAGTCGCAGGTACGTTTAATATACCTGTTGGTGGTCATGTGGCATGCTCAGCGCTCGTTGCCAATAACCTTCGAACGTAGCATTTGAACTTGTCAAGAAAAAGACAGCGGACGATGATCCCGCCACTCATCTGGTCGAGGAGAACCACAATGTTCGTCTCTCACCGCCTCTGAAAGCTACCTTCAACGGGGTTGAAGGCGCTCTCGATCGGCTTCATCGGCTGGGAGTGGCAATACGCCAAGCTTCAGCTGGGCAGCTTATGTCCCGAATCAAACCTTTCGACCAGGATGAACGAGTGGGTTCATTTGAGATGTTGGCCTACTCTCTCCTGGAGAGCCTATACCCCAGCACTAATCCTCGGCTTTTGGAGCATGTGAGTGCATCATTGTCCCAGAAGTACAAGGTGTTTCTGTACCTGCAAGAACGTGGCACACAGTATCGTCCGTCTCCCGGGCGTTTTAAACCGAGAACGATCCAGGTGCAGTCAGGTTCAGAGGTAGACAGTCAGAAAAAAATCGAAGCAAGTTCTTCGACCAACCCCAAGCCAGAGACTCATCAGCGACCAGGCTACTTCCGAAAGTATATCCAGCCGTCTGTAAGATCATCCGCCTTCGATGAGGACGAGTTTATGAGGAAGCAGTCGCAGACGACTCCGATTCTGGAACAATCTGCCCCACCAACAACGTCGGTCGCAAAAGGCCTTGCTGGCTACCTTCCCCTTCAGGCCGTCCCCGATAAGGCCATGTATGCAGACTGTGAGTGGTGTCGCGAGAATCAGCTAGCTAAGGTGTTTACTACACCATCTCTGTGGAAGTATGCTCAAACCGAACGAATTGAAATCCTCGACTTCAGATGGGACTTACTAACAATTCTTCCCAGAGAACACGTGAAAAGGGATTGGAAACCTTATGTGTGTATCGCTGAGGACTGTGCCAAGCTTCATCCAGTTCCCAGCTTTGCGGGATCTAGACAGTGGGAAAGGCACATGAGGAAGACACATTCAGCAAGGTGGTCCCGAACAATATACAAGCAGCCAACATGGATCTGTGACATCGATTCCAAACCCCCGGCCGGACATATAAAAACTCTTCGCTTTGCCACGGAATTGGAATTTTTGGAGCACATCCAAGAGTCTCACGGGCCTTTCACTTCTCAACAACTGCAGACCATGGCCCATCAGAGTATAGTCTTTCTCAACCGAGCTGAAGATATCTGTCCGTTCTGTTGTTTTCTAATCGAAGACGATAGCAGCCCCGAGGAAGCCAAAGCCGGAAAGAGAAATGATCCCAACCTCGGCAAGGATTTACATGACATACCCGAAGAATCCACGGATTCAGATGAACAGGATCCAGACATGAAACCCGAGTTGTCGGCTTCAAAACGGATGGCCAAGCATGTTGCACGTCATATGCAGACCTTCACATTTCTTGTGGTTCGACTTCTCTCTTTGCCCAAAAGTACGGAAAAAGAGAAAAAAGAAGAAGAAAATAATGATTCAGTCACTTTTGCTGATACCAACCCATCGGAAGCTGTCCACTCCGACTATCAAAAATGGGCCAAGGAGGACTTACCACCTGATTTACCATTACCACATCAAATTATACGAAAGTACGTCGACAGCAAGTTTGATCCCGAAGTGAAACGGTTTCTGCCTGCGAGCTGTATGGATGAACTGATAACGTCGGATACCGTCATTAAAGAAATATTTGGGAAAGACGAATTGGCACCTGAAGATTTAGATCTGCGAGAGGGGCCAACGATATCAGAACTTGTTGGATTCGTGCTCTCAAAAGCAAAGAAGGTGTTTGCGATCACTATTCTCAGTGGTCTCCGTGGTAAGGAAATAGAGAGGGCGGTATTCACTTTCATGAGGGCAGACTTCACCGATAGCTCCCTACCCGTTAAAGAAAAGAGCGCAGAGGAAGATATTGGGTGCTTCCGCGATACAGTCTGGTCGAAAGTGCGGATCCACAACTTTTGTCGAGAGCAATGGAGCTTTTTGGCACCGATCTTTCCTCAACAGAACTTCGTAATCGATCTCGAACCAGAGCATATTCTGCCCTTCACTGAGAGGAGCAGCGCATTGAAAGAGGGAGCCTTTTCCCAGGTTTTCCAGGTGGAGCTTCACCGTGCTCATTGTAAGGATCCATACTTGAATGTAAGATCTCTCGAAACCTCAATCATTTCTTCCTACTTCAAATGGTCGAGCACTTACATAGAAAATTTATTCAGGGCAAGGGCAATCTTGCCAAATTTGCCATTAAGCAATTCATGCCTCCCCCGGATTCCAAATTGGAAGACGACATTGATTGGATCTGGGAGCCCGAAGTCATGCTGTTGGAGGAAATACGTGGCCTAAGTCACCCGAATCTTACTCAAGGTATTGCTGCAATAAGAAGAGGCAGAGAACGCTATGTAATGTTTCCATGGGCAGACGGTGGTAATTTGCGAGATTTATGGATCGATAACCCGGAACCAAAGGTCACAGCAGGTCTAGTCCGTGACATTATTGAGCAACTTTTGGGGATGGCCGAGGCATTAATGCGATTACATTTTTGGACAGACCAGCCTCATGTTCGTCATGGAAACATCAAGCCAGAAAATATCTTAGTCTTTCCGACAGGAGACAAGTCATGCATAGGAACCTTAGAGCTATCCGATGTGGGGTCAGTCCGAGATCATTCTGCTCGCACTCAACTTCGATCACGAAATTCAGGAAATTCTTATGGGACTGTGAAGTACGAGCCACCGGAGTCTGTTACCAAGAAACTATCTCCAAGGTCTAGGCTGTCTGACATTTGGTCCATGGGATGCGTTACTGTAGAATTTATGGTATGGCTTCTGTATGGCTATGAAGAACTCAAAGAGTTCAATGCACACATCAGTGGAAAGCTAGAGGAGCCAAGCCGTTTCTTTGTGGTCGACCAGATAGAGGACCAAGGGCAGCAAGGCACCTTTCCACAACTCGTTGCCAACGTTCACCCTGCTGTCCAAGCTTGTATTGATCATATGTCAAAGGACAAAGAGTGTGTAGGAGAGACGGCATTAGGAGATCTCCTTAATATTGTCAAAACGAAACTTCTAGTTGTCGAACTCCCCAATCAAACAGTATCGGCCACCGCAATGATGGAAAATCCTTCTGTCACGATAACCAATTATAGCTCCAAAGAACCGAGATTTGGACGGGTTCGCGCAAATGCTTCACAACTCGTGCATGCACTGGAAGAAATCATGCAACGTGGGATTGCATCTAACGAGCGCTACTGGCTCACAGGTCATGATCGAGATAATGTCCGCCTTCCTCGAGTAACTTTGAGAAATATTACCAAAGGAAGATCTTATTACTTATCTCCTGAACGGACGCTAGAACAGCACATTCCGGGTCAATTTGACCCCCTTGTTGATGAAAATGGACTTAACGAACAAGGAGAGCGAGAGGTTGTGATTGCCGTTATGGGAGTCACAGGGGCTGGAAAAAGCTATCTAATACGTCAGGTAACAGGACAGGATGTTGTGGTTGGCGATGGGATAGCGGCGTGTAAGTCCCCCAATAAAAATATTGCGTCCCTTGCTACTCCCAAAATCTGACGGAACAATATAGCTACCCAGAATGTTTTTGGAGTCCGAGTAAAGTACAGGGGAGTCAAGTTGACCATGATCGACTCTCCTGGGTTCGACAATACCTACCGCACTGATACCGAAGTACTCTCTGATATCTCGACATATTTGTCTCGAACATATAGCCAAGGATTCAAACTCTCTGGCATCATATACCTACACCCCATCTCTCAAGCAAGAATGGACGACTCTTCACTGCGAAGTCTTCGCATGCTCAGGGAACTGGTTGGAGATTATGCCTTGGGAAATGTGGTTCTTGCCACGTCACACTGGAGCAGAGTCTCGTCCGAAGAAGGAATTAGACGGGAGACCGAACTCAAGAACACTTTCTGGAAAGATCTTATCAGTCGAGGTGCTATCATGACTAGATACTCTGGAGACCAGAGATCCGGCAACGCGCTCATAGACTTGCTCATCGATAAACGCCGGATTGTTCTCCACATCCAGCGTGAGCTGGTCGATGAAGGCAAGAAGCTCATCGAAACGACTGCAGGCCACGTCCTTAACGAAGAAATAATCAAGCTGCAAAAGAAACATGAAGAGGAATTGAAGAAATTAAAAGAAGAAATGGATGCAGCAATGAGAAATCGTGACAAGAATGCCCAGGAAGAACTAGCAGAATTGAAGAAGGAACTGGAGCGCCAAATCGATTTGACGAAGAGAGAGCGAGAGAATGTTAAAGAGTAGAGGGAGAATCACATTTCGAGACCAGCAACAGATTTAATCTCAACTGCAACTCATTCAAATGAATTTGGGGAAGCAGCAAAAGGAGAACAAGATGTTACAGGAAGATCACGCGAAGCAATCAAAGGAGATATAGAATAAAAAATTGACCTGAAAGCTCAGATCGCTAATCAATCCACAAGTTCAATATCAGATGTTCTTTCCTATATTACACTTATTGCGAATATTGCTTCAAAATGCTTTTATTATGTAGCTACGCGCAAGTGATCGGTGAGCAATTTGTATGTAGCGAGTAGTATAGTATAATGGGAGCAGCTGTTCCCAGTAGCGTGAGCTTGACTTCATCTCCAAGAAAGCTCTAGAGGTAGCCAGATCCGCCTATATCAACAGAGTTTTCTTCTGGCTTTCCATTAGCCTCAAATAAGCCGAGACGTATAAGAGTGGTAACGAATAAACGTTAAACCTCTATTTCCCGTTGAGAAAGACATCTATTCGGTTCCTTATCCTCTACTGCAAGGCTATAAAATGCTATAGTTGCAAATCGATTCGCCTGTTTAAGATTAACTAGGGGTGGACGCTTGGTTATATAGTCTAGTTCAGAGATGCTATTGGATATACTATTTAAAATCAGCTATTATCTACTTGCCGGAGGTCGGAATAATTATGCTTCCCAGCTTTTATATATAAACTAAAGTTTTAATAGTAGACGTTTTAGATTATATCTTATATTACTTATATATACTAAATAGAAGTAGTAAGTCTAGTTAATAAGTAGTTCGATATATGCCTAGTATAGTATAGCAGGCTGTACTTGTCGAAAATCACGTTATTTTAGCGGTTTTGAGGTTTAGGTCATATAGTAAAGGCTACGGCCTTTTGCACGTGACTTGCAGAAATTATATAAGAAAGCTAGTTTTTCTATAGACTTAGAGAATAATCCTTTATAAATATTTAATTAATTAAGCTTTTATATACTATATACTATTTATACTTTTGATTTATTATTTTACTATTAAGTTATATTTTATACTCTAATATATTTTATATAGGTTTTTGTCTTATTATAGTTTCGCTTCTATATATTTTATAATAAGTAATATAAGAAGAATAGAAACTTTATAATTAAGGTAATACTCTTATAAAGTTCTAAGGAATATTTATAAGGCGGATTATTAGCTTAGTAAGTTAGGAAAAAAAAGAACTATTATAATACTTTAAACCTAAAGCCGGAATATTAAGGATATATAAATATTAATTTTAGTATCTTATATTAATTTCTGATATATCTAGTAACTTAAATACAGATTAGCTATAAAATATAGTTACTAGTATAGTATATAGAAATAGTAGAAATAGAGACTAATTATAAAAGGAAAAAAAGTAAAGGAAATAGAATAGAAAAAATTATACTAAAATAGTATAAGTTAGATCTTAGTTAGAAATAGACTTTAGTATTCGGAAATAAAATTATATTATTAATTTATATATTAGTTTTAGTTATAGTAAAAACAGAAATAGAGATAGTATTAATTTTAGTAGAAAAGGTTATTTCTAAATCCGGAAAAAATATCTAAAAGAAAGAATATTCTTAAATTTAAGTAAAATAGTAAATAGAAATCAGAAATAAGAATTAAAAAGAAATCGGAAATAAGAAATTATATAAATAAACTAGAGAAGCTTCTAGAGAAAGAAAAGAATACTAAATAAAGAAAAGAAAAAAAATTCAGAAAAATCAGAAAAATTAGCGAAATTATATTTATTATTTTTATTATTATCTTTAATAATATTATTAGATATATCTAGTTTAGTAAAAATAAGAAGAAATATTATAGATATTAAGCTAATAGAGCAGAAAAGAGAATATAAGTAATAGAAATAAGACTAAAAAAGCTATTATTTTATTATTACTAATACTAAAACTCGAACTCTAACTATATTTATTATTATTAACCGGGTTTTCTCTAATTCTAGTTTCTAAATTAAAAGATATACTTAAATAGAAAATTAGTCTTTTAAAAATATTATTAATAAAAGTCTTAAATATAGAAACTCTATAATTAATTATAGAAGAAATTATTAAGATTAATATAGCTAAAAATAAGTATATACTAGTACCGGATTTAAATCTACTATTTATAGAAGCTTCTAAAATATTATAGTTTTAAGAAAGTAATATTTTTATATTTTTAAAATAATATATAAATATATATAAAAACTATTATATTTCTAATAATACTAAAAGAAAGAGAATTATTTATTATATCTTATCTATTTATAAGAATTAGATTAAAGCTATACCGGAATACTATATTAATAACCTAAGAGATTACTAGAAAACTAAGTTCTTTAAGGCCTTACTAAAGGAATTCCGAGAATATAACTAGAAAATATTTAAAATTAGCTATAACTTTTTTAATTAGATTATTATATAAGTTTAGAATAGAGGGATTTCTTCTAAGTTCTATATTAATATATTTAATAAAGTATTAAAGAAATTACTAAAAAGAAAAGAAATAGATAAAATTATTTAATACCGAGAATTTATAAGGGAATTATTTATTCTAATAAGAGATTATATTTTTAAAGATATAAACTTCGAATTTATAAATATTTCTATTTATAAATATAGTAAGATATATAAGAAAATAATAATATTCTATTAGTATAAAAAGAAGAAATACTATTTTAATATTACTAATAATTCAAATATATTTAGATTTAGATAAAAATACTTGAATATAGTAGTCTATAATATAGTTTCTAAACCAGAAAATAAGTATTTTTTACTAGTTTCTTCTATTATATTTCCTAAAGCTATTATAGATATAAGTAAGAAAAGAACCTAGCTTATAGTTAATTATATAAAGCCTATAAAAAGCAGTAAACCTAAGAAAAATAATATTAACTAGCTAATAAAAAGTCTAAAAAAACTATCTATTATTATTATAACTTAAAAGAACTTATAAAAATAACTTAATATAGCTACTATTATAATTCAAAGAAATATCTATAGCCTACTTATATAACTCAGTTAATTATAGTAAATATAGCTAGTATAATAGTATTAATAGCTTAATAAATATAATTCAAGTTTTTAGGAAAAATATACTAGAATTTATAATAAAGAATATAGAAAATATTATAATAGTTATAGTAATTAAGCTAGAATAAATAAAGAGTCTAAATAACTATATTCTAGAGAAAGTTAGTCTTAAGTATAATTAGAAAATATTATTTAAGTTAATATAGCCTATAATATAGATTTAAAACTAAAAGAATAAATTTGTTATAGATATTATAATAGAAATAAAAATAATAATATTAATCTAGAATATATTTATATCTTTTAGTTTTATTACCTACTAATAAAAGAACTTATAAATTATAAATATATTTACTAATTTAATAGAAAATAGTATAAAGAACTATTTAAGTCTAGATAAGAAAGTATTTCTTTTTTCCTTACTAGTAAGTATTAATAGTTTAATTAAATTATTTCCTAAGTTCGAAAAAGAGAATTTAACTATAACTTAAATATTTAACCTAAAAATATCTAGAAATTAATAGAGGATATCTAGTTTACTAAATAAGAGAGGAAAAAAAGAACTAGCTAACCGGAATCTATATATAGAAGTAAGTAAGTTATATCTAGGGAATCTAAATAGCTACTTTACTTTAGAGAAAATTATATTGAAATTACTAATATTTTGGATTCTGGAATTAATAAATAATACTAAGATTTAATTATAAATAGTATTTCTATTAATACTATAATAAGTTCTTTATTAAAAAGAAAGAGAAAAGAGATAAAAATAGTTAAAGAAGTTTTCCGAAAATAAGCTAGAGTAAAAGAAAAGCTATTTTATATAAGAAACTAGAAGAATATTATTTCAAGAAGTAATAAATAAAGAAATAGCTTAGCTAAAAATATAGATATTAATAGTTCCGGAAATAAATAAAATAAATTAGAAATCTAATATATATTTAACTATAATAAATATAGAACTTCTAAAGTTAATAATATTCTAATAAGATTACTAAAGAAAGTAATTATTTTACTTCCGAAAACTTAGAAAGAAATAAAAATACTTATTAATATTTTAAAAATACTAGATTTAGCTATTTTATTTTAGAACTAATAAATTAAAAATAATACTCTTTATTTTATTATTTTATAAATAGGAAATACTATTATATTAAATATAGTTAGATATACTAGAAAATCTATAAAGCTAATAGTTATAGCTTATATAATAAATAGAATATTTAAGAAACTAGAAATACTAGCTTAGATATCTAATACTAATAGAATTATTTACTTTAAAAGTAATAGTATTAATATTCGGATATTACTAGCTTATAAATATATTATATAATCTTTATATCTTTAATTTATATTTTAAGAACCTTAAGAAAGTATTAAATATAAAGAAATAATTAATATTAGAACTAAAGTTAATATTTTTCTCGAAAAGATCTCTAGAAATATTAGTAAAATAGTATATAATATTATAAATTATTAAATATTTACTATTATTAGAATAGAATTTAGATTTATAAAAATAGTAAAACTCAGAGCTAAAATTATAAATAAAATAGAATATAAAGATATATTTTTCCTAATTAAAGAAGCTTTAAAAATTCTACTTAATTAACTATTTTTAGTAAAAATAAAAATAAATATTATATATAGAAATAATAGTTTATAAAATAGAAGATTTATTAACTCTAAAGATAACTAGAATATCTATATTATTATAATTATTTTATTTTTAAAGAATACCGGAAAATAGAAGAAAGTAATAGTTTAAAAGTACTAAGCTTTTAGAATTAAGAAATTAAGTAATATAAAATAGGAAACTAAAAGTAAAGAAGAAAAATAGAATCTAGTATTATAACTAGTAATAATACTAGAGGAAATAAGAAAATACCGGAATTTCTTATAGATTCTTTTATTTTAGGTTTAGAAATTTAGGAAATTAATAATATTTTTAAAGAAACTAAAATAGAAAAGGCTCTAATTAGAATATTATTAAGAGTTATTCCGAATTTAATAAAAAATAAAATAAAAAGAATATTAAGTAAAGATATTTCTAAAGAAGAAATAAAATAATATTTTCTAATAATAAAGAAATATATTTCTGAAGCTAAGAAATATTAAATCTAAAACTAAAAAGAA